TCTCACGTACTTCTCTCCACCATTGACGCACATGAGCAGGAGGGACAAGAGTGCCGCGTTTATGATGAGGTGCATGGAGAACAGCAATCGCATGCTCCAGCACGGGAGCCTTCAGTTTGATCAGCAAGAACCTCTCCACTGCATGTAAAACGTGAACGCGTCGAGGTAGAATTTTAATCGGCCCCTTTTGGCTTTTGGCATATGGCAGCTCGAGGTTGATTAATAGTGTGCAACCCAATCATTTTGACTCCGAACCTGCGTTGATAGCCAGGAAGCCGTCGGTCTCGAACTACCCCTTGGGGTACGAAGATTCCTGAATACCTGCCAATAGTACTGCCTCAACTTTAAATTGGAGCCGCAGATGCTGCGCACGTGCACGTTGATCCTGAAATCTGGTCATATTGTGTGCACTGTCTTTTCCTGCGGTGTCCCCGCCAGCACACATACTCACATGGTTGAAGGCCGCCGCTTTGTAGTTCACCTTAGTGGGAGCCCGCGAAACAGCCAGCTCTTTTTTTGCCGACGTCCTTGTGCAATGCAACTTTCTGCTTTGAAACATTGAAGTGGGAACCGCCGTTGATGAATCGAGGGTAGGGTGAGGTGCTTGGACCCAACAATCTCGCAACCTGCCGCTCTGCGTCTACCGTATATGATAATGCTTTCACAGGACCTTCAGGTAGGGCTGGTGGTACATTGGGTTCCTTTGCGAAGTGTCGTGAAACAGAGTCAACTGCTGCATTCCATGGAAAATCCTGGTGGCCAGGCTCCTGTATGACCTTGATTGGTCGGACACGCTGCCCATCTTTGAGCACGGTAGCCGCCAGCTTCCCCATATCAGAAACTAGCCTGACACGATTCGAAGCTTTGTCCACCGCCGCCATATTGTCGCAAACGATGTAGACCTGCTCCTCCCATGGAAGTTGTAGTGCGTATATAGCTGCCCACATCACACCAAGTAGCTCAACCTCGGTGCTGTGGGAGGTGCCATTCATGTCGGTGATAGAGTGCTGACGTGGCCCGCGCAGCCACATAACCCAGACACGCAACTTCCAGAGAGTCCTGCATGACGTGGGCCAACGCGAACGCCGCCAGCTCGGTGGAGGTGCGGTGAAGAGACGCATCGGTATATACATGGTGTATGGCAGTGCCCGTACTTGGACGGCAAGGTCAGCAAAGGGGTGCAACTGCACCCCGCGGTAGCCCCATGAGAGCTCAACCCGCCACTGCATTTGACAAAATAGCTCAGGAATAGTAGGAACATGCTGAAACTTTCAAGATGTAGGGTACCCTGTCTGAATAACTGTGTGATCCTCGGACTGGTTGTAGTCGTTGGGCACAGAACCAGGATAATGCTGCCGTTGGGCAGGTGCGCTCGAAGCCACATCACCGAGGTCAAAAGAATTCATATTCGTAGCAATTGTGCCAAACATGCAGTTGGATACATCAAGGGTAAGAGGTCCCCTCGTTTCGCCCGATGGCGCTTGAGGAGGGACGGATACCATAGCGTTGCACCCCAAAGCCTCTTGGCGGTGCCGTGGCTGCCCTGACGGTCGGTACTCTCTGGCACCCACGTTGGCTGCTGAGCAGTGCGTGCCACCGAGAGAGCGTGGGCTACTCGGCGGTCGGCACTCTCTGGCAGCCTCTGGTGCTGAGCAGTGCGTGCCGTCAGGGGCCATGGTCAATTCGGTACTCGATGTAAGTGCATGTCCAGAGCGGTCCGTACCAGCATCACCACCCGCTGCTACATGGTGACTTGCGCTGTGCGAATTGCCGTCAACGGAGACCCCATTCGCGTCGACGTACGTGTGCAGCTCGATCGCATGGGCAAAACGGACTGCCCTATGCCGCTGCACGCCACTGGAACTGCTAGACGTTAGACCCCCCCTGCGGGAGCCACTGGGGGTATATGAAACCCCGCCTCCTTGCGCACCACCTCGGAGTTGCCCAGGCCCTTTGTCTTGCCACGGCGGATGCGCTCCGCCCGATCTTCATCCGACCTGCTTCTCGTAGAAGAACTTTTGCGCTCCTCCGTCTTAGCATCGCACTTGGTCAGGTCAAAGTGTGCTGGGCCGTGCTGCTGCGATGCACCTGGGATCCCAGATGAGGATGATGACCACCAATGCGAAGACGAAGCTGATGCTGCAACTTGAGGCGGAGGCGGCGGAGGGGGCGGAGGCACAGGCGCAACTGCTGCCGCTGCCTCGGCATCGATCTGCTTCTGGCATTGCCCGGCCTGTTCCTCCAACGCCCGTTTCGCCTCAAGCTTGTCGGTATATTTTTCTTCCCACTCCTGCTCAATTTCAAAGTCCAAGTTTGATTGATAGCCGTCACTGCCGATAGTATTGCCATTCACTGGGAAATCGCAGGCCTCGGCTTGCTGATCAATAGTACGTTGCTCCAGTTCTGCTTGTGCTTCGTCCTGCTGGCGCTTGATGACCTGCTGGTAATAACCCAGTGAGTCGAATGGCTCCGTGGGCTCAATCTGCGAACTGCCTGATACTGGCCTCGCGATCCCACATCCTGCATGCTGGGTTGCTTGTGAAGGAACGACGTGTGGGCTGGCACCTTGGGTCTGCGAGTTGATCACCACAGGAGAAGACTCCTCACGCCCGAATACCTGCTGTTGTGCGGCATCAGGGTGTTGTGACTGAGGGATACATGGTGGCGTTGACTGCGTCTGCGGTATTTCCTGCTCACCCTTGGCAAACTGGACGCATAAGAACTCAAGCTTGTTGGACTGCATTGGCGACTTCGCCTGGACAACTCTGAGTTCTGACGCTTGCTGCTTTTGTTGGTCTAGGATCTGCTGCAACGAGGCCGCGATCTTCATGGGAGCATCTGACTGGGGCATCTTTTCCTTGGCCTTCATTTGTTGTCCGACAGGGGGCGGCGGCGGCGGAGGGTTGCCCGCCGCCTTAGGCGGGCAGGCCGCTGGGGCCGCAGGGGTGACCCTGGGCCTCGCCGTTGGCGGCGGTGGCGGCGGGGGGCAGGCACCTGCTGTCTGGTCAACCTCCATGTGCGTGTCCATGTCCTCGCTGAGATGCTGATCGCGTTTGGTGCCAAGCGTCTTGAGCTGCTCTTTCACTTCTGCCAATTGTTTGACTAGGTCCTCACGAGTATGGACCAACTCTGCCAACTGCTCCTCAACCTTTGACAACTTCTCTTGAACAATGCTCGCTCGTTTGCTGAGAGACTTTTCCTGCTCAGCCACAGGCAGTAAGGCGAGGATTCCCGTCTTCAGCACGGACACCTCAGACGTTTCGATAGCTGCCGACTTGCCAGCAGCCCTCAATGAATTGATGAGTTCGCCCAGCTGGTAGATCCGCTTCCACTGTTTTTTTCTTGAAGAGGCTGGCCTGATCAGGGTCCGATGTGCTTGGAGGGTCTACCCAGCTGTCCGATACTTTTGCCAGTGCAGTGTGCATGGGGCCGATATCGTTGATCGTCTTCCTGATTGGGCCCACGCTGCGCTTTCTGCTTGTCGATATTTCTCTCTTGTCCTGGCCGTTCCTCCTGTCAGAATGCCTAGAGGACTGCCGGGAGGACTGCCGCTGCATAGTGTTAAGATACTTATCATATGCCTTGTCGCACTGCTTGCAGAACCAGAATGTCGCTCCATTCTTGGTGGAGCACTGGATGCAGACCCGACCCGTCATGTTGCTGCTGCTGGTACTGTTGGTGCTGCGGTGCTGCTGCTGCTGCTGCGGCTGCTGGGCACTGTGATTTCCCTCGAGGCACTGCTTCGCAGCTGCCAGGCGGAGGAGCAAGCGAGCCTGTGCTCTGCGCTCTCTCTCACGCCTGTGCCGGGCTGGTTCCCCCTGGCGCCTCGTAGTCGGGGACGATGTAGCCCGAGGCGCGGCCGCCTTGGAAGGCAGCACGCCTGAGCCCAGGCCGTGGGGGCGGCCCGCTGCACGAGTGGGGCGACGACGGGCCCCGTGCGCGCGCGGGCGGGCACCCCTCCTCAGCCCGTGGTTTCTTCTTCCTCCTCCTCCTCCTCCTCCTCCTCCCTCCTCCCTCCTCCCCCTCCCCTCCTCCTCCTCATCCTCCTCCTCCTCCTCCATTCCTTTCTTCCTCCTCCTCCTGCTCCTCCTCCTCCTCCTCCTCCTCCTCCTCCTCCTCCTCCTCCTCCTCCTCCTCCTCCTCCTCCTCCTCCTCCTCCTCCTCCTCCTCCTCCTCCTCCCTCACTCCTCCCACTCCTCCTCCTCCTCCTCCTCCTCCTCCTCCTCCTCCTCATCCTCCTCCTCCTCCTCCTCCTCCTCCTCCTCTTCCCCCTCTTCCTGCTCCTTCTGTACCGGCGTCACACCGAGATACTGATACTATATGTGCGTTGCCCCCCCCCCAGGGGCCAGGGGCAATGCGGGCACCGAGAAATTTTCGTGGCCAGCGCTTTCTGGCCACACCGTTCGGGAAAATAGCACAGGATGGGTATACCAGATGTTCGGGTTGGACGCGCGCCTCCAAGGAGGACGTCTAGTACTAATATGTCTTTGTGCGTCCCATGTAAGAGTTCGCCCAATGGGCGATCGTTGTCTTATCCATTATCTTGCCGATCGGCGCGGGCCCTCGCACCCCGCCCCCCACGCCCCTTTCGTGGAGCAGATCTCGGCTGCTTTGGGCGCCTGTTTCAAGCAGGTGGAGTCTCCCCCATGGGACGCACTGTTGCACACAGTCGCACTAAGCAGAGGGCCGGAGCCAGACCTCTCCCACCCCCTTCCGCCCAATGCCGAAACGCCAAATGAGGAAACGATCATTGGCACGGGGGATCTGGAGTCAGCGAAGCCCCTCCGTCACCACCCACCAAACCACCCCAACCTAACCCGAAGGCCGAAGGCTTCAAGTTGCCCTACAGTTCAAGGTGTGTGTGTGTGTGTATGTGTGTATGTCGGGGGACATTGGCAATAGAAAAAAGCACATGTGGAGACCGTACCTTCCCCAGCCGAAATTTGGGCCTCCGGGTTAGCTTGGGAATGTCTGGTGGGCAGTCGCACCGCCAGGATCTGATGGAGCAGGTGCAGATCGAGTACCTGCCCGCGGAGGCGGCCGAGAACGGGCAGCCCTTCGAGCCCCAGTTCCAGCACCACGCGCTGCTCTACATCAAGTACCTGCAGATCTACAAGAAGCTTGAGGACCGGACCCGCGACAGAGGCTGCTGCCGCGACCTCCTCCCTCGTTCTCGCCAGCTCGGGCTTCCTGGGAGGCCCCCGTCGCCACGCCACGGAGATCTGGTCAGAGCGCATGGGGTGAGAGGTCCTCCGAGAAGCGGCCCTTAAACATACGCGTTTGGCGCTCCGCGGGGATTGCTGGATCGGCGTTGGGCCACTCCGGCGGCTCCTCCAGCACCTCGCGGGCCACGGAGTATGGTGCAGAGCCGATCCAATGGAATCTGCTTGGGCCTACGAGCATGTATGGTTTTGGGGTTGTTTCGTCTTCGAGGACTGCCACGACCAGATGGTGCACCCCCAGAAGCGACGGAGCATCAAGAAGGTGCTGAAGAGCACGATCATCCGTATCCTGGAGCTGAAGGCCCAACTGATTAACTTCAACCCCCGCACGAAGAACCGCTTCGTCGCCCTGGACGAAGTGCTCACGGACTTGAAGCTCAACCCGGAGACGATCGAGTGGAAGGTGCCCAGGTATTTCCTCGACGACAAGGAGTGCAGAGAGGAGATCGAGGACAAGCAGGACAAGGCGCGAATTATGATAACGGCACGGGCATTGTTTTCCGCGCCGGGCGATCCCCACCCGAGAACCCGAGGCGGGATCCACAGGGATCAGCTGGCCCCCGAGTGCCTGGCGGCCGCGTCTTGCAGGGTGGGTGTGCGAGGCAAGGTCGGGAGCCCTTTTCTTGCAATCTGGCACTCCGTCCTGGACCCTCTGGGCCATAACGCGCGTTGTGCTCCCCCTCCCCCCAATAATGTAACCTCTCACCCCCTAAAGTATGTCCCTGGCACTGCCGCAATGCGTCCAGCACCACAGTCTGTGGTGGTGGTCCCACACGGCGGGGTGGGGGGGCCTTACGTCATGCCCCCGCCCCCACGCCCCCCTCTTCTTGAATAAGAAACCGACACATACCAGAACTTTCGGAAGTCCGCGCGAAGTTCTTGGATCTGCGCTGGGGCCCCCTGGCGCCGCCTCGGGCGCGCTCCGCGCGCCAGGGGGGGGTCCAGCGCAGATCCCAGAAATCCGCGCGGAGTTCCACAAGTTTATGGTTATGCAGTTGTTCTTCTTCTATCTTCCCCCCCTTGCCCACCCCATCCCTGCGAATCAAAGGCTCTCCTGCCGAGTGGGGAATCAACTTTTCGCAGGTCCGCGCGCCAGGGAGGGGGGGGGGTGTCCACCGCTGGCCAGACAAGAGCCCGCGCGGCCCCGAGAAGGCTCGCATGTCATGCAGATTCAGGTGGAGTTCTGTGGCAAATCATGGGAGCCCGGTATACCCTCTCAATTCTTCCTTCAGCATCGATTAGCGTCTGAGATGTGCCGATTTCGCGGCGGTCAGCGTCGATGCAGCACCGATTCAGCGTGCATTTAGCGTCCATTAGCGTCGACTAACGACGATCAGCGTCGATTCGCAAGAGCCGACAAGATGGTACGGGAGGCTCCCATGAGTTGCCACCGAAGGTGGAGCACTGGCTCAATCACTTCGGCAAGTCGACGGAGCCAGACACCCTGGTCGACAAGAAGGACCCCTTCGAGATCGGGCTGACCACCGACCAGGCGGTGCAGATCATCCAGAAAAACGAGAGGGGGCGGATGGGCATAACGCGGGCCGACATGGTGTGCACTTGGCGCAAGGACTCGAGTGAGAAGCACAGATGCATCTACGAACATGTTCTGAGCTCTGCGCGGGTTTCTTGGATCGGCGCTGGGACCCCCCCCCCTGGCGCTCGGAGCGCGCAGGGGGCGTCGCGGAGACGCCGCCAGGGGGAGCCCAGCGCCGATCCAAGAAATCCATGCGGACCTCCGAAAGTTCGTTGCTCTGAAGGACTCCCACCGGAAGGAGGAGAGGCAGAAGCGCCAGGCGGAAAAGGGCGACCAGGCTGGCGACGACGTGCTCGAGAGCCAGGTGCTCGCCGCCACCCGCATCGCCGCGCACTGGAAGCGGCGGGTGGACCGCCGGCGCTTCATCCGCATGCGGGAGGAGGAGTTCGAGTTCTTGGGCATGGCTCCGCCGCGCAGCGACACGAAGGCGCAGATCATAGCGGACATGGAGACGAGAGGAGGAAATTCTTCACGCGTCGCGTAATCCCACCAGCCCATCCAGCAACGATGCCCAGACGAGTTGCCTTGATGAGGGAAGTGGGGGAGCATGCAGAGGAACAAAGGGCCAGGGTAACCGTCATGCCCCAAGAGGAGGAACATGGAGGAAGAGTCGGAGGATGAGGAGGAGGAGGTGGGGGAGGAGGATGAGGAGGAGGAGGGGGAGGGGGAGGAGGGAGGAGGGAGGAGGAGGAATTGGCGAATGAGGAGGGGGAGGAGGAGGAGGAGGAGGAGGAGGAAAAGGACAAGCAGAAGGGCGAGAGGCCTCTTGGGTGCCTCTCGAAGTCTCTTCGGATGTCCCTTTGGGAGCTTCCTGAAGGCCTCTTGGGGCGTCTTGGGGGTATCTTGGCGGTCCCGGGGGCCTCTTGGCGCACGTTGCGTGCTTCGGGGAGCCTATTTCGGCCTCTTGGCGGCCTCTTGGGGGCCTCTTCGGGACCTCTTGGAGCCTCCTTAGCGCTTCTTGGGGCCCTCTTGGGGTTCTCTTGTGGTTCTTTTGGGAGCCCTGGATGGCCTTTTGGGTCTGTCGTGGAGGGTGTCGGTGAACAGAGGGTGGTCCTTTCGTTTAGCCCCCCCCCCCTTTGGGGCCATCATAATAGCCTCTTGGGACGCTCTTGGGCCTCTCTTGAAGCGATCTTGGGCGGCGGTCTTGGGGCCCTCTTGGAACTCTCTTCGGCCATCTTGGGGCCACCTTGACGTCTCAAAAAACGTATCGTAAGTCAAAAGGGGAGAAGATACAACGTCATTGATTTTCCTTAGTTTGTTGAAGGGTATTGGCATCCCCAGAAGGTCCTGAGGGGTGGAACCGTTTTGTCGCCATCTTGGGGTCTCTTGGAGGCATGTTGTTATCTTGAGCCATGTAGGACTATCTTGAGTGATCTTGGAGGCCGTCTTGGGCTCTCTGAGGCCCTCTTGGAGTCATCTCAGGCTACTTTGGACGCCCTGACACCTCGCAAGACCCCCCGTCCAGGTCCAGGGGAGGGGGCAGGAGGAGGGGACAAAAACCCTTCCCCGAAGGTGAAGAAGGGTTTTTTGCAAGATGAGAGAAAGACATCGTTAGACCACCTGCGCCCAGAGGGCTGGTGGGCGGTGTCGGCGGTACAGTGGAGACCCATGCCAAGAAACACCCTGCTTACCTTCGGGGTGCCCTGTGTTTCCTAGGTTTCGATGGTTTTGCGATGCAAAGCGTGCAGTTCCCACGCCGAAGCTCCATGGACGCCCTGGGGTCTCAGTGTTGGGTTTCTCGTGGAGGGTTTCTTGTGGACTAGCCTCCACTGTATCTGTCGGTCTCGCCAGGAGAAGCACCGGATTCGCCGGAAGAAGAACCAGGAGGACAACGACAATGTCTACGAGAAGGCCTTGATGGAGCAGCTCGCCTACCTCAAGAAGAAGAAGGGTGAGGATATCAAGGCCGACTTGCTGAGAGACCGGCGCGAGTGGGTTCTGGAGCAGTGCCAGAAGCCCAACAAGGACAAGCAGCTGAAGTTCCCTGCCGAGTTCGACGAGTTCTACCAGCGGTTTGACAAGGGGGACGACGAGGAGGAAGATCCGAAGGGGAAGGACCCCAAGAAGGACGCGAAGAAGGGCAAAGACGCCAAGGGGAAGGGTGGCAAGAAAGGCAAGGGCGCCGAGGTTCTGGAGGGAACAAAAACACACAGACACTGTCAATCGTCGATTCCCCAGAAAATATTGGAAACTATTGGAAGTGGTGGGGAAGACACTAACCCAGAAAATATGGGATAATATACGGAATCCTTTTATTTGTGTGTATTTATTTGTGTGTCCCAGGGCCCCTTCAGAGGTGGAGGAGGACACGCAGGAGAGCGGGCCGAGCCACGTGGTGGCCCAGTTCGTCGAGCGGATCAACGAGTACACGGAGATGTGGGAGAACCGCAACGAGGACAACAACTTCGACCAGCGCCACGACATCGAGCTCGCGAGGAAGAACGTGTTCCCCATCGTGGAGGCGGAGCTCCGCGCGGCCGTGGACGACATGATGAGGGAGGAGCTCTCCAACCTGAAGGCCATGTTCGAGACGGCCAAGAAGAAGAAGGAGAAGAAGAAGAAGCCTCCGAAGCCCAAGAAGCCGAAGCCTCCAAAGAAGTGGTGCGCAGCGGTGGGTTCCATTACTGACCGCGAGGGGTGCGTTCCCGAACTGGTGGATTTCGAGATCTTGAAGAAAGTGCAGCCTTGTAATCTGCAGGACTTCTGGGGCGAGTATCGGGCTGCCTATGGCATGCCACTCCGCCGCACCAGCCCAACACCCTCGAAGGCGTTTGTTCCGGGGGTGCACGGAAAGCTGTAACAGATGAAGAGGAGGAAGGGTGAAGAAGGCGGCGGTTACACGTGACGGATGTTTTGTCCCAATTTCTTAGGGAGCTCTCATGTAGCTCATTTGGGCGGTCTTGGTGCTGCCAAGGGCTCCTGCGAGGCAGTCTTGGGGCCGTCTGGAGCATTCGAAGGGCCCTTTGGTGCCGTCGTGCGTCCCTCTGGAGGCCCTATCGGGCTTGCTTTTTTGCAGAATTGGAGGGACCACTTAGGGCCGAAGCCGCTCAATCCCCCCCCCAAGAAAAAAGAAAGCATTTGACATGAACGGAGGCTGGCTTCTTCTGGCCTCACGGGGATTCGTCTGGTCGCCCTCTTCGTCTCTGGGGCCTCTCGGGCTCTCTTGAGGCCGCGCGGGGCCACCTCGGGGGCCCTTCTTAGGAGGCAGCTCGTGTCACACTGGCGACCTCGGTGCCTCGGCCGTCTTACAGTAAGGGTTAACTAGGGCCTGTCCCTGTACAGGAGGAATGTTCAACATAGTTCTAGAAATACTAGGGGGACGATTTTTCGACTAGTTCTGATCATGTTTGAATAGTTGTGGCGTATGTTTTGTTGTTTCGTCGAACATCCGCCTTCAGGGGGACACGCCCGACCTGAAAGAATGGGGGGTGGCGGACCCATCGTTGTTTTGTATGAGACATCGTGGCCTCGGGAGCGCTGCCTTTTTCAAGCGGTCGTGGCCTCGGGAGGGGAGGAGGGGGGGAGGCGACGCACGCAGCAGATCACGACTGACCAAGCCACCCCCGCCCAACCGAGATGCCCAGATCCACCCCGGCTTTCGGGTGGGGGGTGCGTACGGGCTCCCTCGTGTGCCCTCAGTCTTCAGGAGCACCACCCCCCCACCACTGGAGGTCGACAAGCCCAACGGGGACTTCGGGATAGGGGTGGTCTGGTAGGTAGTCAGCAGAGTGCCCCACTGGGGAAGAGGGGGGCCCCGCAGAAGCCTACAGGACACCGCACCAGACAGCACCTGGCATTCCACCGCGCGTCGACGTGTCAGCGGGCACGGTGGCGGATCACTTCCTGGGGGCGATGCAGCGCAGCTTCCAGGCGCACGAGACGCAGATCACCGCCGCCAAGTGCCATTGCCCGCCCCCGTCGGCGCAGATGATCAGGTCGCTCCTGGTGGAGCACTGCGTGCTCCCCCTGGCGCAGACAGACATCCGCCAGAAGGCTCCCGTCGACTTGGCGGCCAGGTCGCTGCTCCTGTACGGCCCCAAGGGGTCGGGCAAGTCCATGCTCGCTCGCGCCATCGCGGCAGAGACGGGCGCTGCGTTCTTCGACATGTCGCCAGCAGTGATCGAGGGCAAGAGCATCGGGTTCAAGAACTCGGCTGCCGCGCTAGTGTACAAGGTGTTCATCTGCGCGCAGGACATGGCGCCCTCGGTGATCTACATAGACCAGGTCCACTTGGTCTTCCAGCTGAAGAAGAAGGGGAAGAAGGGCGACCCCAACGCGCCAGACCGGATCAAGCAGGACCTAGCGAAGGCAATACAGCAGGTGAAGCGTGGGCCAGAGGCCACCGAGCAGGACCGGATCCTCTTCATAGGCACCACGTCGTCGCCTTCCGCTGACGGCGTTGACGAGAAGGGGCTCATGGACGCCTTCGACGAGAAGGTCTGGGTCAACTACCCTGAGTACGGCAGCCGAGTCGTGCTCTGGCAGAAGTTTATAGAGCAGAAGGGCGTCTTTGTCGACCCCGTTAAGCTCAACATCTCCACCCTGGCCCGCGTTAGCGACGGCTATTCCGCGGGATCCATCAAGCAGACGGTGGACCGGGTGCTGACCGCCCGACGTGTGCAGCAGCTGAAGAACAGAGCACTCAAGGTGCAGGAGTTCATCGGGCCGCTGTCCCGGACCGCGTACTGCTGGCAGGAGGAGATCGAAGCAGAACAAATTGCATAACTCGGAGTTTGATTGACCTCCTACCCTGACACGTCGATTAGTGAATTGGCCGTTTTCGGTTCGCGAGAGGGCGTCGCGGCCTTCATTTTGCGGGGCCAGGTCCGTCGGTCTCGGTCCTGGGCAGTTTTTACTACATGGAGGTCTACTCAAGGGAGGCTTGCCCACCGCCGAACAGCCATGATCTTTCGCAGGTCCGCGCGGGCGTCTTGCATCTGTGCCGGACCTCCCTGGCGGCGCCTCTGCCGCCGCCCCTGGCGCAGCTCAGAGCGAAGCAGACTCCCAGTGCTCAAGGCCGCTCCAGTTCTTCCGATGCGTGGGCCCCGGAGGTCTGGACACTTCCCTATAGGGCCGGTTTTCCGTCCCGAGTCGTCCCCTACCCGAAGAAGAAAATGACGCCATAAACATAAACTTTTGGCGCTCCGCCCAGATTTTTGTTGGATCCGCGCTGGGCCCCACTGGCGGCGCCTCCGGCGCCGCCCCTGGCGCGCGGAGCGCGCCAGGGAGGGGGTCCAGCGCAGATCCAAGAAAGCCGCGCGGAGCGCCAAAAGTTCATGGCTATGGCGTTTTCTCTTCCCCGATGGACGGTCCCGAGGCCTGGCGAGGGCACCCGAAGAGGCCCCAAACTGCAACAACAAAGAAACGCCGCCCCCACCTCTCCGGGGCGCCCGCACGCAGGAGAGGGACAAGCTCCAGCAGTTCGACTGGACGGCCTCCGGGGAGGAGAAGCGGGCCCTGGAGCGGCAGGCCGAGGAGGCCGCCCGGGAGGCCGAGAGCGCCGCGGCGAAGAAGAAGCGGTAGGCTTCCGCGGTCCGCCGCGCTCCGCCGCGGGCCGCTCTGCCGGGGGGGCCGCCAATCCGCGCGCCCCCTGGCGGGCGGCCGCCGCCGCTCGGGCAGGGCCCCAGATGGCCGGCGGCATGCTTTCGGTTCGATCTCGGCGTTTCTGTTCCTCTGATCTGCCCTGCGATCCGGGCGCTGCAGCGTCTGTTCGCCACGGGCGTTCTCGCTCCACTCCGGGCCCCGGGGCCCTCACGGCCCGACCCGGCCCGAAACGTGGCGCAGGAGGATCGGGCCTGTAAGGGCTCAGGGCGTGCTTTGTCTTAAGACGCTGCAGTTTCTCCGCCACGTCGGATCTCAGGGCACAGCGGTGCGCCCGACCTGGCTCAGCAAGGAACGGGGACGGGCCAGCATCGATGACCGCCCTGACCCATGTCGGCCTGTACCAGCATGGGCGCAGACCGACAGCAGCTCCTGCCCGTGCTGCACCGGCCTCGCCGCCGGGCTCCAGCGGCGGACGCGGTCCGTGTGAGTCACAAGGTCGCCTGGCCAGCAGCGGCCGCCGCCGATGTTGGACGACCTGTGCCCTTGGACGTCGTGCAGTCGGGGCCTTGAAGAAGGAGCCCTTTTCGTTGGGGAGGGGCTCCGCGTTCCTTAAGTGTTTCACAGCTTGCCTCAGGCTTTCCTCATGTTGTCGATCGGAAATCGAAGGTCAGCTTATGGAAAAAAGGGGCCTCGTTCCTTATTTAGGGTTCCTTAGGTCAACGCCCCGACTGTACCCATTTTTGTCCGTGCCCCCGTTCGGCCCTCGGCGACCGTCATCGGCCTCCAGGGCAGTCAAAAACGGATCCGGGGCGAAAGTTTACACAACCCATTTTCCCAGACCCCCGACGTCATGGTTTTGTCCATGAATTACGTCGGTCCCCAGAGGTCCCGACCGACCCTGGACCGATTTTGCACCCCGAGCCGTTTTTTGACGGTCCCGAGGGCGGGTGCGAGCCTCCAAAGGCTGAAAAGATGGAACACATGTTCCGCCATGACTTTTTCATTACCCAAGGGGGTCTGGGTCGAAACGGTCGGGGCCTCTGCAAGGGTCAAGTCGGGCACGTCCCTCCACAGGAGGAATATTCATAAATAGTCAAACGATAACCCCAGGAAGCACTTTAAGAACCCCCCCACCCACCCCACCCCTCATCCGGTGAAAGTATAACGCATCCGGCACCCTGGAAGCGTTACCTCGGCACCGGAGGAGCCCGCAGAGAGCACTGGGGGCCAAGCTAAGCCTTGCTGGGCCCTGCTAGCTCCCGCTAAGCCGTGCTGAGCAATGATAAGCCAGGCTCGCCCCCTGCTGAGCCCTGCTAAGCCCATGCCAAGCCTTGCCAGCCTCTGCTGAGCGCTGCTGAGCTGCTAAGCCTTGCTAAGCCCTGTTCGCCCCACTAAGCTCTACTGAGCCCCCTGCTTAGCCCCCTGCTAAGCCCCCTGCTAAGCAATGCTAAGCCCTGCTCGCTCCCTGCTGAGCCCTGCTCGACCCTGCTAAGTCAAGCCTTGCTAATCCCCGCTGAGCCCTGCTAAGCCCATGCCAAGCCTTGCTAGCCCCTGCTAAGCTCTGCTGAACGCTGCTAAGCCCTGCTATCCCTTGCTGAGCCTTGCTAAGCCCTGTTCGCCCTTGCATTTCGCAGGAAATCCCTGACATGTCATCGGAAATTCATAGCAGCCCCCAGGAAGTCCTGAGCATTCGCATGTCCTCAGCGTTTCCAAGGAAATGCGAGGGGTGCTCAGCATCTCTTAGGAGTCTCGGATGATTGGGATTCCCTAGGCAATCCTTCGCTGGCCTGTAACATGTGCTAGGAAATGCGCAGAATATCCAAAGGCATTCCCAAGGATTTCTTCTTACGCGTTGCGCGGCGCGCGACGCGCCACGGAATTGATGTTTTTTGTTTGTGCGAGGTGCTAAAGGTATCGCTCTGCGAAAACGACCCCCTGGAAATATCAAATCTTGGTGCGGTGCTAACGATAGCCCCGGGGGGGTTCTTAAAGGCTTCCTCGGGTTAGTCAGGGGACGATTATTCGATTATGTTCAAGTGTCAACATTTTTCCGGTTGTTCTCAGTTTCCGTCCAACATCCGCATGTACGGGACACGCCCAACCTAAGGCGAGGGCACCCGGGATCAACGAAAAGACATGCCGGCGGACGCCATCGGGCGTGGCGCGGCGCGCCCAGCGGACGTTGGCAAGTCAGGGCTCTGGCGCGCCGGGGAGGGAGCATTGCAGCCGTGGGGCCAGAGGCATGCTCCATCTCAACCCTCCTCCCTCCTCCCCTTCCCTCCCTCCCTCCCTCCTTCCCTCCTCCCTCCTCCCTCTTCCTCCTCCTCCTTCTCCTCCTTCTCCTCCTCCTCCTCCTCCTCCTCCTCTCCCTCCTCCTCCTCCTCCTCTCTCTCCTCCTCCTCCTCCTCCTCCTGTTCCTCCTCCTCCTTTCTCCTCCTCCTCCCTCCCCCCTCCTCCCTCCTCCTCCTCCTCCTTCTCCTCCTCCTCCTCCTCCTGCTCCTCCTCCCTCCTCCTCCTCCTCCTCCTCCCCCCTCCTCCCTCCTCCTCCTCCTCCTCCTCTCCTCCTCTCCTCCTCCTCCTCCTCCTCCTCCTCCTCCTCCTCCTCCTCCTCCTTCTCCTCCTCCTCCTCCTCCTCCTCCCCCTCCTCCTCCTCCTCCTCCTCCTCCTCCTCCTCCCTCCCTCCCTCCCTCCCTCCCCTCCCTCTCTCCCCTCTTTCTCTCCCTCCTCCCTCCCTCCCTCCCTCCCTCCTCCTCATCCTCCTCATCCTCCTCTTCCTCCTCCTCCTCCTCCTGGTCATCCTCCTCCTCCTCCTCCTCCTCCTCCTCCCTCCTCCTCCTCCTCCTCCTCCCTCCTCCTCCCTCCTCCCCTCCCTCCTCCCTCCTCCCTCTCCCTTCTCCCTCCTCCCTCCTCCTCCTCTTCCCTTCTCCCTCCTCCCTCCTCCGCCTCCCGCCTCCCTATTCCCTCCTCTCCTCCCCTTCTCCTCCTCCTCCTCCTCCTCCTCCTCCTCCTCCGCCTCCTCCTCCTCCTCCTCCTCCTCCTCCTCCTCCTCCTCCTCCTCTCGGCTGCAATAACTCAGGCCCTTCAAGAGCCGGCGTCTTGAGAAACAATTGCAACATCGGTGTAAGAATTGACGATTTGAGCACTAGGCTTCAATTTCCTGCGCCAGTTTTCGAGCCGGATCGATCTGTGAGGGTCGCCCGGTGCTTCGGGCCTCGGGATATCCCGAGGCCCGAAGCCGCGCGAAAACACGCCCGTGGTGAAGAAAGGCAGCGCCAGGGCATCAGGGATTCCTAAAACCCTCTCGAGCCAGGTGGAGCATGCCCGCAGCCTGGTTAGCAGTGCCCTTGCTTAGGGTTAGGTCGGGCCTGTCCCTCCACAGGAGAACTTTTCAAACATAGTCAGAAAATAGTCTGGAACGACTTTTCCACTATTCCTTGACAGCGCTATGGCATTTGCAGGGTATTTCTCATTCTCGGTCCAAAATCCGCCTGTAGGGGGACGTGCCCGACCTCAGCTTCGGGGTCCCTGACGGCCCAGTCCCGCCGGCAGGAGTGCCGCCGCCTGCCTGGCCCTTCGCCGGGCAGGGCGGCGCCGCCGCGCGCCGCGCGCGCTGGGGCACGCGCGGGCGGACGTGCGCGCCTCCCTGCGGCGGCGCGCAGCGGGGGGGGGGCGGCCACGTCTGAGATCCTAGCGTTCAGTCGGGCGTGTCCCTCTACAGGAGGAAAAATCCAAAACAGTTTAAACATCGTCTGGGGACGATGTTTCTACAATTTTTTATGTTTTCTTGTATGGTTTGACTATGTTTCGCTCTTCCGCCAACATCCCTGTAGGGGGACACGCCCGACCTAATCCTGGCGCCGCAGTGTGTTCGGATCGGGTGTCTTCGCATACCTTTGGGCCCCAGGGCCCTCACTCGGACGGGGCCGGGGACGAGGGCAAGCCCATTCCACAGCGTTGTCCGAATGTTCGCAGAGGGGTCCAGAACGCTGTGAGAAGGCCGCTTCGCCCGAGACACCCTCCAGAGCCGCCAGAGTTCAGGGATTCTCGATTTGTCTTCACTTGATGTTATCCTCGGGTCTGGGGCTCTGGTGATGATTTTTCACGCCGTTGCAACGTCGCGTCCGTGGATCTCAGCGGGGGAGCGAGGGGCGACCGACGTCAACCGACCCCTAGATCCAGACGACGCACCGAAAATCGCGAAGGCCGGTTTCTCTTGAGGGTTTGCCGCCTCTGGCGGCCATCTCGACCCCGGGGCCGTCAGAAGAGGACCCACTCGGGAGACGTCGGCAGAGCTGATTGACCTCAGCATCCACTTTAACGCCCCCTGTCCCCTTTGCAATACCCCTGATTGTCCATGCAGGGGTCCCGACCCCTTCCGCAGGGCAAGTCCTTCCTCCTGGATCCGCTTTGATTTCCCGCCTGGGCCCAGCGCCTGGCCGAGTGCATTGGGATCGCACGTCAAGTGCAGAAACAGCCGGAGTCTCTGCAGAAACGCCTACGGTAGGTTCGCGTCGTGTCGACCGGCGGCGACCCCGCCAGCGGCGTTCAAGGTTGAACGCCGCCGGCGGCCCAGAATCGGTCGATGTTGAACGATCGGACGTTGTGGAGACGGCCGATCGTTCAAGGTTGAACGATCCAGCGCGGTGTCAGGAACCAACACCAGGGTCGACACGGCACGGACCTGCAGTATTGTGTCGGAGAGGTGGGTCGGAGACGGACACGGCCCCTGGATGCTCCCTCGCCCCCAGTAGTCCTTTGAGAGGCGGGGGCTCCTTCTGAGGGCTCGACGGTCTGTCGCGAAGCGGCTTGCGGGGATCACGCCGGAGAGGTCGAGCTATGAATGCAAGCACACGGAGGTACATCCAGGTAGATCCGAGCAGATCCAGGTACATATCCGAAGATCTCCAGGGACACGTGGAGCAAACCTCGTGGCCGCTCCAGCTCGAGCCGAGGGACGGCAGAAATCGCGTCAAGCCCTCAGCGAGCGTGGACCTGCCTGGGAGAGAGCGGGCCCCCGCGCCCCCGCGCCCCCCCCTCCGCCTCCCTGACCTTCCAGAGTGCTAATGTAAGTGGCACTCCAGACTTGTAGCCCTATCAGGACCGCCGCACACCTCGACAGGACTTAGGACAGCGCTGTGCTGGTGCTTCCTTTGCCAGCCCTCTTGGAAGGTCAGGGTCCCCCCGCCGCTGCGCACCGCCTGCCTCCGTTGCCCAGACTTGCCCCTCGGCGGAGGCTCTCCCCGAAAAAACAGCGGTGCGCTGCCGACGTGTCGGCCCCCTGGCGCCCCCTTTATCCTCGCGACCGCAAAGGAGGGCGACTCATGGGTACTTACGCAGGACGACAGGTGTTCCTCTTGAGGTGAACATGGCCATGAGGAGGTCGCGAGACAACGTCGGCGCGACCTTAATTGGATCCGACGGCGGAGATCTCATACGCGTCTGCTCAAGACTTCAAACATCCGCTCCGGGCCCAGGAGGAAAACACTTTCGTCCTGGGGGTGCAGCCAGTCGCTGCGCCCGCGATCCGCGGGGCCTTGCTGCACGTGGTGGCGTTCCGTGGCCCTTCGGCCAGACGGGGCCGTGGCCAGGGGAGCGTTTCTGTTCCTCCCCAGGGTAGCGCTCGCTGTCCAGGCCAACCTCCCCGCTTCCTGGGGAAGCGCCAACGATCGTGCCATGTTCGCTGCGTCGTGTGGGCTCGATCCATCAGGCAGGACATGCAGGAGAGTGTGGTGCGCGACTTCCTGCACGAGTTTGGTTCCCAGCATCCCCGTGAAGCAACATTGCCGTTAGTCTGGCCTGAGAACAGGTGGCCAGGTCACGCGCCACCTCGCGGTGGAGCTGGGGCCGCTCGGCATACAGACGAGGGTGGTGATGTCAACGGGTGCGTTGACCGAGATGGGGCGGACGGGCGGCATGGCCCAGCGGTGCCAGGGAAACGCACGCCACATGCTCTCGAGGATCCCGCCGGGTCGCTTCGCAGAGCCGCTGGCGACGCTGCGCGAGCGTCGTCGCCCTCGTTCTCGACGGCGCCCGCAGCGGCATGGCATGGTTCGGTGGCAAATCATGGGAGCCTTGCGTGTCCTCTTTATCCCGTCTTTGACGTCGACTAGCGTCGATTAGCGTCTGGGAGTCGATGAGATATCGCCGATGTTGCGTCGGCTAGTGTCGATTAGCGTCGATTTCGGGTCGATCAGCGTCGATACATAGCGCCGATGAGCGTCGATTTGGCGCCGATGAGCGTCGATTCGCAAGAGCCGACAAGATGGTACGGGAGGCTCCCACGAGTTGCCACCGAAGCATGACCGGCGGCGCGCTGCGGCCCAGTCGATGGCGGCGTTCTTTGTGCTGGTTGGAGGTCTTGTGGGGGGAAAGCCCGGCCCGGCGAGCCGCCGCAGAATCCAAACGTTCAGGGAGGGTGCCAAGGAACGTTTGCACCGCCTGGTCCAACGCCTCGATTTCCTTAGTGATGGAAGGGGTGTTTCATCTCCGACCCCGAGCATCCGGAGCCCGGCATCCAGCTCTGTGTCCAGGACCACGCCTCGTGCTCTTTCTCCCTGCCTCGGCCTCTCCTGTCTCTCTTCTTGTTGCCCTCCTTCCGCGTGCTCCATCCTTGCTCCCGCCATCCCGCCTCCTCCATCCATGCTCTCGCTTCCTACCCTGCCACCCTGCAGCCCTACTCTCGGAAATTGAGGAGGAAAAGAAACACACAGACACAATTAATCCTCGATTCCCCAAAAAATATGCGAAAATATGGGAAGTGGGGGGGAAGACAAAAACCCAGAAAATATGGGAAAATATGGGGCATATTTTTATTTGTGTGTATTTATTTGTGTGTTCCGGGGCCCCTTTAGAAATGTCATGCTCTTGTTTCCAGCTCCTGTTTCCTGCTCTATTCCTCGCCCCCGCTCCCTCGCCCCGCCTCCCCCTCTTCAGCTCGCCCCTCCCCACTCCACTCTTCCCCTTTGTCACTCCCTCCTTCGTACTGGCTCCTCCTGTCCTTCTATGCCTTCCATCCGCCCCTCCCCATTTCATTTCACGGCGCGCACCATAGATTCGTCACAGATCATGAGGGCGGCTCCCACCGTAATTGGGCACGATCGAAGAGAAAGAGTGTTGGTATCGAGGGCGTGGGCGAGGGTTACACATGTCGATGACCGTTCTGAAGATGCTCCTCCTGGTCCTGCTCCCACTCCTCGCCTCTCCCGCATCCCAAGGTCACAGTGACAACTCAGTTTGCCTTGTCGTGGCTGCGTGATGGGGTCGGGTCGCACATGTAGAGCGCGTGTGTACTGTCAGCGCACATGGTAAGCATGAGTGACTTTCTGAAATGTAGTTGCACCTATTTGATTAGTCTCTCCATGTCCTTTGAATTCTTAGTTCAAGCAGTTCCAACTTAGGCGTCCGAGGGCCGTGCATCCTTACCCAGCGATATTGCCACAGTTACGCGATGGCTGCGTACAGCCAGGCTGCCCTGGCTTCCCTTGGGCTTGACGAGGAGGGCAATGCAGACCCCTGGTCTCTCGGACCTTGCATCCTTCAAGCGCCTTTGGTTTCAGGGTTCGGATTCGTTGTGGACACTCCTTCGGGCCAAACTCCTGTTGAACTCTTTCGCGCTGCTGTATTCTACCGCTTGCCATCTCCCTCTGCTCAGGGGGTCATCCGCTCGCTTGTCCGCCATGGTGTCTGGCGGCAGCCACGAAGGATCCTTGCACCAACCTCTCTTTGCCAAACTCACGCTGCTAGCTGCATGGGCATCAGGAGGAGGAGGAGGAGGAGGAGGAGGAGGAGGGTGAGCAAGGAGGGTGAGCGAGGAGGGTGAACGAGGAGGGTGAACGAGGAGGAGGGGGAGGAGGGGGGGAGCGAGGAGGAGGAGGGGGAGGAGAAGGGTGAGCGAGACGAAGGACGGGGAGGAGGAGGAACGTGAACGAGGGGGAGGAGCGAGGCGGAGCGAGGCGGAGCGAGGCGGAGGGAGAGAGCAGGGCGGCGCAGGGGGGGGGCTGCTGGAGGAGGAGGCGGAGCAGGCAGGGCACGGGGGGCGGGGCGGTCGAGGAAGCAGCGACGAGGAGGTGGGGCGAGGACGAGGGGGGGCAAGGGCTCCCACGAGGGCGCGAAGTTATTCGCGCTTCGCGGTCCTCGTTCCTTCTCCCCCTCCTCCTCGTCCTCCTATTCTCCCTTTGGGAGGGCGGCGCGAGAGCGCGAAGTTATTCGCGCTTCGCGCTTCGCGCAGCGCGAAGCGCGAAGTTGGGAGCCCTAGGAGAAGGCTGTCTCAGAAGGCTGCGGGACTTCTCAGGAGCCCTCCCGCCTTTCAGAAGACTGGAGGGCTTCGGGGCTCTCTGGGAAGGCTCGCCCCCTCTCGCTTACCCCCCCGCGGGGCTGGCCGCCGAGTGGAGCAGCGGGGGCAGGAGTGATCCCCAGGTGCATGTCGCCGCGGCGTTTGCTCCGACGTGCAGCCTTCTGCCTTGCGGGAGGCGGGAGGCGGTCATGGCGGACCAGGTGTATGGGCATAGCGTCATAAGTCGGGCATGTCCGTCCACAGGAAGAATGCTCGAGAACAGCAGACGAATAGTCTGGGGTCGACTTGTCGCGTGTTTTCTGTTACGTTTTGACCATGTTTGACAGTTTTAACTATTGCTCGGAAGTTGATAGACCTCCTACCCTGACACGTCGATTAAGGACTTGGCCGTTTTCGGTTCGCGAGAGGGCGTCGCGGCCGTCATTTTTGCGGGTCCAGGTCCGTCGATTTCGGTCCCAGGCCGTGTTCACTACATGGAAGGGAGGTTTGACCGCCAGGCCGTTTTCACTACGAAGGGGAGGTTTACCGCCGATGTATTTCTCTTCCATGCTACCCGCCTGTAGGATGACCTGCCCGACCTATAGGCATAGTCCTAATCGTTGGCCACAACTTGTGGAGCCGACTCCTTGTTTCCTTTGAGGGGGGGTACACCACGAGCACGGACCCAGCGGGCCGTGGCTCTCGGAGGGGTCCATGGCACGCTGACGCCGCGTGGCTTGGTCGGACAGCGCGCCACGCACCTCCACGCACGAGGTCGGCGTGCAGGCGCTCCCACCTCCCAACTACAAGGGAGCTGAGAGGCGCTCTTCTTCAGATTCGGGCGAGGCTGCTTATGCGACACTCCCCCCCCCCTTCCGCCGCCGTTTCAAACAGCGCCAGGCCGAACACAGGCGTGCGAGCGAGTCCCCGCGCGTGCGTGAGGGTCAGATTGTTCCTTTCGGTCCCCGCCACGCCCCTCCCCACCCCCTCCCCCTGTGCAGAAAATCTGGGTGGAATCCAGAGAGAGAGAGAGCATTGCCTCTGAGGCGTCTCGTCCCAGAGATCCGTGACGCGTAGACATGTCAACATCATGACAGAGCAAGCCCATTCAGAGCCCCAGGCCCAATCGTTCTGCTGCATCGATCGGTGTTTCGCCAGCCAAGGTGCCAAAGAGCTCGACGCAGGAGTTCGCAGTGTAGACGCTCCAGCACAGCATCCCACGGATGGGGAAGCCGGGGCGTCTACGGTCGCCACTTTTGGCTTGGCGTGTCGTGTTGCCGATCATGTCCCACCCCGCTTCGGCGCGACACGCCATCCACGTCCCCACTACCGAGCGTCAACGTCCCGAGCCTTTTCCTGAGCCTTACGCCGCACTGAGCGGAGGGACACGCTATCCGCTCGCTGGGCACAGCGTGTCGCCAGGGCCGCCGCCGCGACACGCTGAGCAAGAATGCCTGAGCGTAGGCGCTTCATCATCCCGCAGATAGGAAGGTTGGGGCGTGTGTGCACCGAGCTCCTCGGCCGACCAGATGACCTGGTATGTACTCTGAGGGCTTCCCATCCCTCACCGCACCCTTCTGAATTCTTGATGGCCGTTCACTTTCCGCCCACGGTGTCAGTCATTGGCACGGCAGATTTTGATGTTGAAGTAGGTTGCCATCTGGATGTCGAGTGGCAGGATCATCGAGAATGAAATAACCCTTAACCCGAATAACATTGTGAAGGCGTGGCCTCACTTGAGTCCCCGTCATTGCATTCGGAATCACAAGTCTGGGCGGTTTGGCTTGATGGATCTGGAGAGTGGACCCCCTTTATCCCTCATGTCTTAGGCCCTTCTGGCTGATAAGGTCCCCTTCCACTGGGTTAGGGGTCCTCCTATGGTTCATCGCAGGAGTGCCCCCAGGCCTTTGTGGGCCCCGGAAGCGGCAGGGCCGTTTTTTCACCGTTTCCAAATACATGTCCATTGAAAATGGAAACGGCAAAAAAACGGCGACCGGAAACGGCAACAAAAGCGGCTCCAGGATCGGAATTGGAGCCGGAACCAGTCAAAAAACGGCGACGGAACCGGTAAAACAACGGCGTCGGAACCGGCAGCAAAAACGGCAAAACGGAACCGGTAAAAAAGCGGCCCTGTCGTTTCCAGGGCCCACTTGAGCCCCAGGCCCGATCTCGGCCCACGCCCCGTGGCCAGCAGCTCCCCCCTGCCTCCGCAGCCGCCCCCTGCGGCCCAGGATCAGGAGGGGAAGAAACACACAGACACAATGAATCCTCGATTCCCCAGAAAAGATGGGAAGATATGGGCAGTGGGGGGGAAGACAAAAAACCCAGAAAATATGGGAAAATATGGGGAGCATTTTTATTTGTGTGTATTTATTTGTGTGTCCCAATTGCCCTTTACAGGAGGCGCTTCCGCTCGGCACCGCGCGCCTGCCGCCCCCCCCCCCCCCCGCGCGCGGGCGCCATGCTGCGCTGGGTGCTGCCGCTGGCCCTGCTGGGCTCCGGGCTCACCGTGGTGGTGCCTCGGGCGGGGGCGGCCTGGCGGACCGCGGTGGTTGGGCCTGTTTTCCACCACCACCACCATAAGTTGGAGGGGGAGGGGGTCTTCCTCCTCCTCTTCCTCCTCCTCCTCCTCCTCCTCCTCCTCTCCTCGTCCTCCTCGTCCTCCACCTCCTCCCCCCTCCAACTTATGGTGGTGGTGGTGGAAAACAGGCCCATCAGCGGTGGTTGCTGCGTACAGCCGGAGCCCTGAAGAAGGAACCCTTTTCGTTTGGGAGGGGGTCCGCGTTCTTGAAGTGTTTCGCAGCTTGCCTCAGGTTTTCCTTAGGTTTTCGCTCGGAGATCGAGGTTTATCTTATGGAAAAGAAGGGCCTCGTTCCTTATTTGGGGTTCCTTAGGTCAACGCCCCGACTGTATGGGGGCACGGGGTTCAGAATCGCAGGCGACGTTTCTCCCCCTGCCCCCGGACTCTTCGAGGAGAAACGGAGCCGGTCCGACATGGAGGGAAACGACCAGAGGGGCTCTTCGGACGCACCCCTGGCGAGGATAGACGCCCCCCCCATGGTATATCCCATGGTTGGGCCCAAAGTTTCTGGTCCAGTCGAAAATCTTCCACAGTTTGAGATAGGGGTCGACATATCCCTTGTTGCAGAAGTAGATGCGAAGGTGGGTTACATCTGGCCCAACCTAGCTTATGAGTGGGTGACAGATATCCTAAGGTGGCTGGAAAGGGCAATAGAAGTCCAGGAAGTGGGCTCCGCCCATTTTGCCCATACCGATTGGGCACCATAAGCCACTTAGGGCATTTGCAACCTATTCATAATCTCGGCTGGAGCAAGGATAACTGACCTTAGCATCCTCTAGAATCGCCCCTATCCCTGGTGCAACCCTCGCAGTTTTCCAAACAGGACTAGGATAAACCCCCGGCCACAAGCGTTTCCGACCAGGGGCAGAAACCGGGATCGTTCCAGGTCGTTTCAGGCCACCTCGCGTCGTGAACAAAAGCACGACGGGTTTTGTTCCGCCATTTTGGGCCTCGGGGGGCCTTCACCAGGCCTCGGGGCCGTGAACAGAACTACAGGATGAAAAGCTTGACTGCGGGAAGGGGTCAGGACCTCTGGGGTCCACGTTATCAAACAAATAACGTCGTCGGGACCTGGGAATAATTCAAGATCGTTCTGGAGCGCTCTCACAGCGTTCCAGAGCGCTCTAGAAAGGCCACGGCGCCCGATACATTTTTCAGAACCGCTAGGCCCTGAGATCCGACGAAGCGAGAAAATTGCAACATCGTAAGAAATCAAGATCCGAGCCCCAGATCCCAGCTTCCCCGTGCCTTTTTCGAGTTCAATCGGTCTGTGAAGGTGCCCGAACTGCTGCAAACACGCCCGACTCGAGCGGCGTTGCGACGCCAGGATCTCCGGGAACCGCCAGGTCTCAGCGATCCCAGATTCGACCATGTTGAGATTTTTTGTCCTGGCCGTGGCTCTGCCTCGGGTCGTGGGCGAAGGCGTATCCGTGTCCGCGGCCTCGCGGGGGAGGGCTCCTGGGCCGCGACCCCGCGGATCTGTTTTTCTGCTCGCGGATGGGATCGGGTCACCATGGCGTGAGGGCCCCGCCTGCACTCAGAACGAGAGGTGATGCCTTTACCTCGGGACGCCTCTGGCTGGCAACCTTGCTCCATCCAGTGCTCGTGCTCGACTTCAGAAAAACTTGTTTTGTTTGTTCTTTTATATACATATATATATGTATATATAAATGTGTATATATATATACAACAAAAAACACGACACCCTCACCCACCCTCCACGTGTGCCGGCACAGCATTCGAAACAGGCTTTCACCTGCGCTAAACCTCGGGCGAAAACACACTACACTTGGAACATCTGCCTTGAGGATGTCCAGCCCCCCTCTGGATCTAAGCTGAATTCAAAACTTGTTTG